AGGCGCTCCTGGACGTCCGGGTTTTCCTGGCTTGCCTGGTGCACCAGCTGGTCCTGGTGGTCCAGGCAAACAACATCCTTCACACTGAAGGTTGGGTGCTGGGTTAACTTCGGGACCGTAGCCAGACTGACGGGATGTGCGGTTCCGAGGAGCAGAGCCAGCGCTGGCTTTCATAAAGTTGACTTCAGCAAAGATATCTTTGGCGGATCCCTAGAAACACAGACTCATTTTGCCACCTATTTCATCAAATTAACAGTTTTCTGTCTACTTCTTTTGAAAATCTTGGTTACCTAGTTTGCCGCAATCTCAAAGAACAATCATTTATTCGAAAAAAACATTGTGCTCATTACCTATGTTGCTAATCAACATCAAAGTCATGCTTCAAAAGCTGCGCTTGAAAATTTTGCACATTTTTCTAACATCAAGCTGATAGTTTCTCACTTCCTGAGTTGTCAACAAAAATAAGCGGTGTTTAAAGTCTATTTCCTTTTCGATTAGCGAGTCAAAAAATTCAGTAACGTGAAGACACATCGCAAAGAGGCTGAACTCAACAAACCTTGCAGAAGGAAATCTCGTGCTGCATCTGTCGTCGCACATGACTCACGTAATTGTACACCATCGGTAAAGTGAGCACCACCGACAAGACAGCGACCACTGAGAACGATACGGCCGCATACGCCACGAATTTGTAAGCCTTGGTGCGTCCGTCGGACTCCATAGCGGACTACGGACGTCTAGGTGGAGCCGCGGATCTTTTATAAGGGTGGAGGCCTCCATATCTCTCATTCTCTCGCATATCATATAGCTCACGCGAGGACTAGGCGGCGTCCGAGATCGCCAGTCTACGTCCCATATCTATAGATGTCGCAATCGCTACGGAAAGCGAACAGTCGCATACGTATAGATGGTCATTCTCGATAAGAGGGCACTGGTTTTAAGGTTGCAGCAATTATATGGTCATTCAGCGTCTTTCTGCTGCAACCTCTCAGCTTCTCCTCAGGAATTCTAATGAAATACCAGGCTGTCTCTTATGACAGCTATGGTGAATGAGAAGTACGGTAAGCAAAGCGTATAGTGTTATAATACCAAGGCATTTCTTACTTGAGAAACTAAAGAACATAAATGTGACCTTTGAAGGAAGGACAAAACGAGTCTGGTTGGGCGTAAAGCATCTGATTACGATAGATGTGTCATGAAGCTACAAAAAGACTTTGATGGCTGATTTATCGTCGTGATGGCCTCCTGCAAAAAACCGTAAGCTGGCATATGGTCACTGCTCCCTGTTCTAATTCTTCATCTACTGCGCTAAGCTCTAATACACAAACTACTGCAAGAAGTTGTGCGGTTTATTTTTTATGGAGCTAGGAAAGATTGCCGTGTAGATGAAACTGAACAAGACTGCACAATTTGTCTACTTATTTCGTTCCTACATGTAGTGTAGCTGGTAGATCTTCATCAATAAAGCATGTATGCTCTCGACCTATATGCTCATGACAAAATATATATATATCTTATATATAAAGCTGAATGTCTGTTTG